ATGCTGGGGTTATAGTGCTATATACTACAAGGTCCAGCTTCTCGTTGGAAAAATTTTAAAGCTAGTGTTATAATCTTCCACGAGCACCCCGAAACAATCTCATAAAAAGAATTGTGAATTTCTAATTTTGAATTTGAGTAATATAACTTCTAGGCATATTGTCAAAAAGAAGAGAAAAAAAGAAAAAAAAAAGGCTGGGCATGGTGGTGCATGCCTACAATCCCAGCGCTTGGGAGGCTGAGGCAGGAGGATCATTTTGAGTTTAAGGCCAGCCTGGGCTACAAAGTGAGCTTAATGCCAGCCTGAACTCATAGCTAGACCCTGTCTCAAAAAGACAAAAAAAAAGAAAAAAAAAGAAACAGTTGGAGTATGTGCCTATGCAGTGGAATTAGGCAATAAATTATAAGGCAATTAAAGGTTGGGGAAAACTATCAATAATAATAATGTTAGTTATAAAGAATTATCTTTTCTTTTTAATAGTAACCATTGGGGTCAACAACTTGTGTGAGTTCCCACAATAAAAACATGTCATCTGCATATAAAGGATTATTTGTAAAAAAAAAAAAAAAAAAAAAAAAAAAAGGATTATTTGTACTTTTTAAATGATGAGATGCACTTCACATCTAATTGGTAGAATAATAGTTTTTTTGAGTTAAAAACAAAAGTTTAGGGATCGGGGATGTAGCTCAGTAGTGCAGCGCCTGCCTGGCAAGCACAAGAGTTTGATTCCCAGTACAAAAAAAAAAAGTTTATTTCTTCACAGCATTGGGTTCTTCTTTTTTGGTCTTTTTGAGACAGGGTCTTGCTATGCAGTTCAGGTTGACCTTGAGCTCACTTTGTAGCCCAGGCTGGCCTCATACTTGCACCGATCCTCCTGCCTCAGCCTCCCGAGTGCTGGGATTACAGGCGTGCATCACCACGCCCTGTGGGTTCTTCTTTTTTATCAATGTGTTTTTGTAACCCATAAGCTATGCTTGTTTTGGGGAACTGGTACTGGCATATAATGTATCTTGATAATTTTCAGTCTCTTCATCACCATCTCTTCCCTCCTCCTCTTTCCCATCAATCTCTTCCCCATCTCCAAAAAGTCTGCCTTCTTGTTTCCTACCACTTCTCCCTTCTTTTACTCATTTATTTATTTATAGTTTAGGCTTCTCATGTAAGGGAAATGGTTATGGAGTTTATAGCAGCACAATTCTTGTTTTTCACCAGATTTTATTGGTACATTTTAGATATACATAATGATCACATTCATCACAGAGAATCTGTACCTGTACATGATAGAACTTGTTTTTTTCCCACTCCCTCCCCTCCCTTCCACATTTCCTCCCCTTCCCATTTCCAAAGCTTTGTTTCCATGTTTTCCTTTTCTCATTTTTTCCTTTTCTTTCCTTTCCCTCTCTCCTCTCCCTTGTTCCCCTCCCCATCTGAATATTTTCTCCCTATTTCACAATACCTATTATACATACGTTTGGTCCTTATTTTCACTTTTGGTTTGTAACACCAGAGAAGCAATACAGTATTTACATGTGTCCGATTTATTTCACTTTAGTATGGAGTCAAGGCACATCTATTTTCCTAGAAATGTCTTGAGCATATCCTTCTTTATGGCAGAGTATTACTCCACTGTATAAAAAAAACTTCTTTATTCATTCACCAGGTAATGGGCACTTGGGTTGTTTCCAAGATTCAGCTATTACAAATTGTGCTGCTATAAATAAGAGCTCACATATATCACTCTGGTATGAGGTTTGGGGAATACCTGGGTTGAGTGGGACCTCTAATACAATTTTTTGAGGACTCGCCACACTGATTTCCACAGTGGTTGCACCAGTCTGCACTCCCACCAACAGTAGAGTAGGGTCCCTTTTTCCCCACAGCCCCATGAGCATTTGTCATCGGTTGATTTCTTGATAGCCATTCTTTCCGGGGTGAGATAGAATTTCAATGTTGTTTTAATTTGTATCTCTCAAATGACCAGTGATGCTGAATGTTTTTTCATACTTTTATTTAGTAGCACAATTCTTAATACTAAAGCTCTGGAAACAGTCTAGATGTCCATCTCCAGATGAACAGATAAAGAAAACGTGGTATATATACACAATGGAGTATTACTCAGCCGTAAGGAAGAATGGAATCATGTTATTTGCAGCAAAATGGAAAGAACCTCAGACCATAATGCTAAGAATAGTAAAATTTTTTGAGAGCTGGAGTTCTCTGATGATGCGAAGATTTGGGGAGGTGTGAGGATGGATTTCACTACTTGTTTTTGTAAATACCTCCTTTTTAAAATTTGTATATTACAATAAAGTTCTGTTTTAAGTTATAAGGTGTTCTTTCTCCTTCCTTTTAATTAATGTGACAATGTAAAGATGGCTCGAAGTTGTGCATAAGGCTGGGTGTGAAAGGACTGTAACTCATGCGAGAGGAATCCTGTCTCTACCTGAGATTGGCCACAAAAGATAGCTTATCTTCTTATGCTTGGATCTGCACCAGGAACCCCAGCAGGATCTATAAGCCCAACACAGAGTTATCAAGCCAAGTTACTATAACTTGGAAGAGGAAAATTATAATTCTCTCCCAGTATCACATTAATTTTGTTAATTTTAAATTTCCATTTGATAGTCTCAAACTCTTGGAAATGTAGGAAACTGCAGAGAGCTCTTTCCTCTCCTGCATAGTGGGTCCTTTACACAGCAGAAAAGGAAGCAGGCTGGACAGCAGTCGGAAACGCAGACTCTCGCCCTGGCTTGGATTCCTACCAGTCTACAGTGCTTACTTAATCTCTTCAAGCCTTGGTTTCTTCAGCTCTCTGTTGGAAAGATCATCCTCTGCTCAGTGTAATTTTGAAAAAAGAAACAGGAGTATGTGATTATAGGCTGACACTGTTTAATTATTAATGATGGTTATTTATGTTTCTAAAGATAAAGCATATAACATAGTAGAGCTTAGGTTTGGGAAGAATACAGGGAAGTGAGGTCAGAAAGCCTTAAAAATGGAAAAATAAACATTGGTAAGTATAAAAGGCTCAAAAAGGACAAGTTGCAATCTTTTTTTTTTCTCCCTAAGACCAGGCACTGATCCCAGGGCCTTTGCACTGAACTATATCCACAGTACCGTTTTATTCTGAGACAATTTTTTTGTTGTTGCTTTTTGGTACCAGCAATTAACCTCAGGACCTCGCACTTGCCAGGCAGGTACTATGTGACTGAGCTATACCTCTGGCCCTGAAACAATTTCTAACTAAGTCCCTAACTTGCCCAAGTTGACCTCAATTTGCAATCCTCCTGCCTCAGCCTCCCAGAGTGCTGTAATTACAGGCCTGTAGCACTATGCCCAGTTCTGCAGACTACTTCAGTGGGACTATGTGTCCCGTACCCGGGAGAAATAACCAACAGTGACTGCAGGCTTGGGAGGAAGGGTGCTTGCTGAAGCCCAGAGCGAGTCACCAAGCAGGCAGCCTGGGGAGGAGCGGAGGCTCTGCTGTTGGTGGTTTTGTGACAAACAGGCCCTGCCAGAATGGCAGTGGTGCTGTCCCTGAGATGGCGCCCATCCTGGGGGATGCGTCCCACCTCCTGTTCTGTCCTGTCCCAGTCACAATCATGTGGCCTAATAGGTCCCGACAAAGGTCAGTGGACCTCAGAGTCCTCCAAGGCCAAGGTGAAGACAGCTTTTCCTGGTCTAGACAGCAGTGTGAACAGCCGGGACCTCTCAGAAAGGGGGTCTGTGTTCCAGCCCCACGGGGCCCCTGCTGCCTGCCTCTTGGCCAGTTGCAATCTTGAAAAGTCAATACAAACTTTCTAATTATGTCCCACATTCTGAATCCTGATAGACTTAAAAAAAAAACAGCCCTGCCTTGTTATCTGCTCCCTTCTAGCAACAGCAACTTTTTTTTTTTTAACTCCTTGCCCCAAGCTTCATGTTGTTTTGGGGGGTCTTTTTGAGACAGGGTCTCGCTGTGCAGTTCAGGGTGGCCTTGAGCTCACTTTGTAGCACAGGCTGGACTCGAACTCACAGCCATCCTCCTGCTTCAGCCTCCCAAGTGCTGGGATTACAGGTGTGGGCCACCATGTCCGTGGTTTTCTAATGGGCTGGCACCTTCTCTATTCATCTGTCTAGGTGTGGGAATGCCCAGGGATTTGCAAGCAATAGGCTAATGAGCATCCTTCCTGACAGGGAGAGGTCTTTCTCTGGAGTGCTAAATGGGGTTTTAAAAAAAACCAATCTAGGCATTTTCTTCCCTGTACAATAAACTACATCCCTTCTTCCCGCCTATCTCGATGCACGGGGCACTGATGATTGCCCACTAAGGGCTTCTTTTGAGGCCTGTGAACCTAATTTCCCCTATGCTTTCATAATTTTCTTCTGAACACCATATATCTGTGTAGTAAATAAGGGAATTTTCAAGTAGTTACCATGTATTTAGAAGGCTCTGGAACGTTTTGAAAAGCAGGGCAACTTTCAGTAAAAGAAAATCTCATACACCTTAATTTAAAAAAAAATATTAACGACTCTGGCAACTCCTTGGAACCTGAGGTATTTTGTTAATATTATCAAATATCTAGTGTTCAGATTTCCCAAATTGTTTAGAAAATTCTGTTAACAAAAATCTTTGTTTGGGGGCTGGGGATTTAGCTCAGCGGCACAGCGCCTGCCTGGCAAGTGCAAGGTTGTGAGTTCGATTCCTGGTACCAGAAGAAAAACAAAACAAAGCAAAACAAAATCTTTGTTTGAATTAGGATCCAAAGATTGGAACAAAATTTTTATCATCCTGCACACTGGCTGTGCACCCCTCTCTTCATGTCAGGGCCCCCCTTGCTCCTTTCACACAATCCCCCTGCACAATGGGATTCAGAGATGAAGTCAAAGCCTCTATGTGCGCTACAAATGTCCGATGAGATTCTGGCAACTAAATTATGCAGCAAATAAGCATAAGTAATAGCTTCGAGTTAGCTCAGAACACAAAAAAGAGACAAGAAAAGAAAACGCATTCATGTTGATTTTGCAACCTTTGAGATTTCTTTATCTCTTTACCTTTCTGGTAGAAGACAAATAGGACTCACCCTTTAATTTGTCAGTATTAATGAAGTCCTGAAAATGTAACATAAGGTAAATGCATTAATATTTATTACATATACTTATTAAAGTATCTGTAGCTTTATTTACAGCTGACATCTTTATTTTTGCTCATTTGTTTTCGGGTACAAGGAAGAACTGAGGATATCATCGCCTTTAGGGGTGAACATAATTGATTTTGCTTCAAAGGATTAAACCATCATTACTGCCATTACCCAAAAAGGTGCTGGGGTGAAGGGTTAGAGACGTTTAGCCATGTATAATCTCCACCCATCTTACCGAATAAACGAAGACTACCTGACAGCAGTATGTGATGATGTACTCCAAACAGTTCCACCAAAGCAGCCTGGCCTCCGCAGGCCTCGCCCCAGTGCAACTAAAGCGTTATGCCTCAGGCTCTCCTAATCAGGAATTGTGGGACCAACACCGACCTCAACCATAGTCACCCAACACTTACTGATTTTATTGTTCCAGATCCCCACTCTCCCTGTCTTAACAGGACTACTGGATCTAAAGCCGTGTAGTAGTCTTACTTTTCTGAAAAGTGAAAAGTCGGTCTCGTGCATTTGCTTCGTGCATCCACTTGGCTCGAGCACGCCAAGGTCTAAGCCCGCTGCACTCTGCCGGTCCATTTTACAGCACCCGCTCCGCCCGGTCGTCACCCGCTCTGTCTGCCCTGGGTCCGCGGCCAGGTTCTGATCTCGGACTGAAACTCATGATCTTCTGGCTCAGGTTCTGCGAACTGAGTCATTCTGGCGCTGAGAATATTCCGTGACTCAGCAGGCCTGAAACGGGGATGTCAGAATCCAGATAATTTCGTCTTTTAAAGGCAAGACAGAGAACACAAACAACACAGTGGAAGAGCTCCGCAGTGGGTCCGCGTCCCCAGGGGGAAAAATGTCATCCCATTCCCAGCCTTTTCACTTCCTTCCTCGCCGGGGCTAGAGCACTGGTTACACTTTAATTCAGCGGCAGGAAATCGCTTCACAAGATTCATTCTGATGCTGTGACCAGGCCCTCCCCTCCCCAGGGACCGTGCGCGCCCGAGCCGGGGCCTCGCCTCGGAGGGCCCGGGAGAGGCGCGCGCGGG